CAAAGGAACTTCATAGAGTATAGGGAGATTTAAAGGAAAAGAATGGAAAGGACCTGGGTTCCATTAACATCCTGACCTTATTTGTAACTTTATAGTCTTGAAAATAACTATGAAACTCACTGAAAGGCACTACCTACCATAGAGAGTTGTTCTATGTCACAAATGGATGAAGGATGAAATTGCATTTGCTTTCTACAAACCCAGTAAAAATGTAAAAACTTAACACATTTAGAATAATAAATTAAACATCATCTGATGCCTCTTGGGGCAAGATGTTGTACAAACGCTAGTAGTAAAGAGGGAAATATAACACAGGACAGAGCTGTACTGCTCAAGTTTTGGTTTAGATAAAATTTAGAACCCAGTTATTTAGTTGTATTAGCCGCGATTCAACTTAGCATGAGCTCATTTCATTTAGCTGGTGGCTACCATGTTAGACAACATACGTGCAGAGCATTTCCATCACCCCTGGTTTTCTTCGTCAGGGTTGACAGAAAAACGTCAGGTGAGCAGAAATTAAATGCTTAGAGAATTAGCTAATGACCAGACTCAGTTCTCTTGAGTGCCGGATACTCCTTGGGATGTATTTCAAGATGAAATGTAGCCTACCCTTCATTCTTATTGAAGTTTCTCAGAGAGTTTACATGTTATATGAAGTAGCACTTCATGAAAAGTGGGTTAGAAATACACCCCACAGAAGGTTCCAGAAATGAGTTTCCCCATGATACTGTTCAGAGTATCCCTGGTAGTTCCTGGTAGTTATCTTTCTAGGGACCTCCTGTGGTTTCTATATCTACAGACAGCATACTCACACCACAAAATTATTGTGTACACTCTCAGTGAACAATCATTAAAAAACGACACCTTCTGTGTGCTTAACCACTGAGTTATATGTGCTATGGAATAAGAAATATTCAAGTTACGCTCACATTTTTATTTAAGCAAATTCACTTTGTTAGCAAAACAGCATTATAAAATTGCTACTACTGCCATTTTATATAAGGTAAAGGTAAGGCAAAGAAAATTGAAGTGGCTTGTACAAATTCAGAATGTAGTAAGCAGGTGAGTTTAGTACCAGGACATACCATGTGCTAAGTAATGTTACCTCATGTCATTTTCACACCAAAAATACCATGTATGTCTTTGAAGTCTACGACCTAGTTGGGAAAAAAAGATTAACATACAGAAATCTAGTTTACAGTTCCAGCATAAGAACTGATGTTCACACTGCTCAGAAACATGTGAGAGCACCAGTCATCATTATCTTTGTTTCCTTCTTTCTAGAGGAAAAACCCTTTGAGCAAAACAAAAAGAGGTGTTCACTGCTGAGACCAGAAAAACATAAGAACAACATTTTAAAAGGGAAATTTCTGTTTTGGTGCACAGCTCCAGAGGTTTCAACCCACAGTTAAGGGTTCTATTGCTGTGCGCCTGAAGGCGCATCACCACGGTAGGAAGCATCTGGCAGAGCACATCAGCTCGCTTCATGCTACGTAGGAAGCATATAAAGAGAAAAGGGCTAGTGAATAAACATAGACTCTTACGTACTGGTATATATTCAATGTACATAGTAAGGGATTTCACAGAGATAATGTCTGTCCTTCTGCGAGTCTTCTTATCCCAATCTCTTATGTGTTCTCATATGTGTGTGTGTATACATGGATATGTGTGTATGAAATGCATACATATTGAATGTATGTATACTGAATTTATATTTCATATATATGACTTTACTGACCTATAAAAACCTAGAGTCTGCAAACGGAAGCAAAATAACTATGTGATATTCTTCTTGCTTAATCTGTCTTACTTCACTTAATAGAATGGTCTCTAGTTACACCCATTTCCTGGCAAATGTCAGAATTTCATTCTTCCTTATGACAGAACTAAATTCTACTGTGTAGATGCACATGTTTTCTTGATCCATTCATTATCTGTTGACAGTCACAGGTACAGTTCAGTTTGGCTTTTATGAACAGTGCTGCAATAAGCATGAATGTTCAAGTATGCCTATGGACTTCAGTTTTACATTCATAAGTGATAGAGATGATTCATCTGGTAATTCTTATTTCTAGATTTTTAAGGACCCTCAGTACCTATGCTCATAGTAGCTGACCTAAATTACATGTGTTCCCACCAGTAGAATTATGGGCTGCTTTTCCCCACATCCTCCCCAGCACTTCTTATTTGTTAGTTGTCATGATGACCAGGGTGATAAAAAAAATCTCAGTTTGTTTTTTTTTAATATTCATTCCTCTGGAAGCTATAAATGTTGATATTTTAAAATATGTTTATTGGACATGTACTTTATCTTAGAGAAATGTTTTATCATTTCACTAGTTCACTTATCAACATTAACTTAATTTCTGTTTTATATCTTTTCAAGTTCTTTGTATATTCTGAATATAAAAACCCTGCCAGATATATATCTAACAAAGACTTTCTTCCATTCTGTAGACTGTTTCCTCACTCAGTTTATTTCCACTGCTGTGTAAAATACATTTCTTAGTTTTTAGTTTTGTTTTCTGAGCTATGAGGGCATTTTTCAGAAATAGATTGTCCATGAATATATCTGTAAGTATTTTCTTCAAATAGTTTTAGGTATTAAATTGATGTTTTTGATCCATTTTGAGTGATTTCTGTATAAGGTAAGAGATACAGATCTAGTTTTGTTCTTCTATATTTGTATATCGAGCACCATATGCTGAAGGAGCTATCTTTTCCCAATTGTATGTGGTTTCAGGTATAACCTTCAGAGGTACACCCCCAGTGACCTACTTTCTCCAATTAGGCTCCACTTCCTAAATTTTCTACGATCTCCCAAAATATACGGCCATCTGGGCACTGAGTTTTCAGCACATTAGCCTTTGGAGAATTCCATATTCAAACCATAACAAGTATGATCAGCCAGGTAAAGAGTAAAATGGGAATAAGAGAAAGAAAAATACTTTTAAATCCAAGTTGTCATTATATCTGCTTTGCTTACATTGGTTTGGCCATCTAGAAATGGTTTAAAATATCTTCTCAATTTAGATTTTTTTTAAACTACCCTATTCTAAACCTGTAAAAAATTATTCGTGGAATTCTTTTTAATGTCTTAGAGTTTTATATTTTACATCTTCAACTCAATGGAATTTATGTTGATGTAAGTTAGGAAGCATGGATCCAGCCTCTTTGTCCATATGGCTCTACTATTGCCCAAACAAAGCCTATTGAAAAATCAACTCATTTTCCTCATTGATTTGAGGTGTCATCTTAATAATTTGCTAAATTCTGGTGTTTGTGTTGATTCCTGAACTTTCTATACCATCGCATCAGCAACTCCTGAAGCACATACAAACAGAGACCTGCAACCAGATATTACACAGAAAGTGAGAGAACTTGAAACACTTAGCCCTCCAAGGGATGTTTGCACCCAACCCACCCCTCAGAGCTCAGGGGACCCTGCAGAAAAAGGAGGTGGAAAGTGTAAGAGACGGGAAGAAGAACACCAAGAAAACAAAGCCCTCAAAGTCCACATGGGCAAAACTCACAGAGACTAAAGCAGTATGTACAGGGTGTGCGTGGGTCTGTGCCACATCCAATGCATATGTATTATGGCTTGCAGTTCAGTGTTTTTTATGGGATTCGTGAGTATGCAAATAGGTGGATCACTGAGTCTTGTGCCTTTTCTCAGTGTTGAGGTTAGAGTCACAAGCCACTGCCTTGGCTTTTTACTTGGACCCAGGAAGTCTGAACTCATGGTTCTGTGGCAGATACTTTATCAACTGAGTCACCTACACAGCCCAAATAATATTATCTTTAAAAGATGATATCTTTTTTCATATTATTATTATTAATTACAGTTTATTCACTTTGTATCCCACCTGTAGCTCCCTCCCTACTCCCCTCCCAATCCCACCCTCCCTTTTTCTTCTCCACCCATGCCCCTCCCCAGTCCACTGATAGGGGAGGTCCTCCTCCCCTTCCTTCTGATCCTAATCTATCAGGTCTCATCAGGACTAGCTGCATTGTCTTCTTCTGTGGCCTGGTAAGGCTGCACCCAAGATATACTGTTTTGTCTTAATATTATTAACTAATGTTAATTCACAGAAGTTTTCTCAGATTATAAAATGTTCTTTGGGGCTGAAGAGATGGCTCAGAGCTTAAGAACATTGGCTATTCTCCCAAAGGTCCTGAGTTCAATTCCCAACAACCACATGGCTCATAACCATCTATAGTAAGATCTTGTGTGCAG